CTATTGAATGCTATTGTCTATTATTACATGAGAATTTTGGAAATTGTCCCTTATTACATTGCCAATCAGTTAATAATTTTTTTATAAAGTTATACTAATAACAATAAACACAGTTGATAATTTAATATATTTTAATTAGTAGTCACACAATTTTTTTTAAGTATTCTCTTTAGAAAAATATTAACCTATTACTAATCAACATAATGAAGTCCTTTCGTTAAAAAATAAATATAATTCCAATTCAAGAGAAAAAAAAAAAAGAGAAATTTAAAAACATGCCACTTTTCAACTGCCACTTTACAAAAATGCCATACTTTTGAAATCTTTACAAAAATGCCACTTTTTCAAAATTATTTTTTCTTTATATTATTTATGTTTGGGTTAATTATGTTCTATTAGGGTTTAGTTTTGATTGTTTAGGGGGTTTTAGGTGTCAAAACATTTTTTAGGATTTAGAATTTTAAGATATAGGCTTTATAAATATATAATTAGTGGCATTTTTGTAAATGACACCTCTAAGTGGCATTTTTGCAAATGTGCACATAAAAAGTGGCATTTTTGTAATTACCAAAAAAAAAAAATATTATGATCAAATTTTTTTTCAACAAAATAAAATTATGAAAATTTTAAATTAAAAAATAAAATTAATATTTTGATAAAACTTTCCTTAAAATAATGCCATGTATTATATGCTTCATCCATAAACCATGAGACTAAATAAATAAAAAATTATCTACAATTTGATTATAATTAATAAATCAAAAATAGATTAAAAAATATATATGTAATCGTGATCTTAAAGAACAAAAAGATAATGAGATATTTTGATTAAGATATTCTTTTAAAAAATATTTGGAAATAGGTAAACCTAATTATCTTTAACAAAAATATACTAAAATATTGTATATATCCATGTTATTGTACATGGTGAGACATTATAAATTAGAAATAGTATTAGTTGATCAAAAAAATTTTAGCACTATTTATAGATTATATATATACGTATTGCGGTAAAGTTTGTCAAATTCATATTTTTGTCCTCATATTTTCTTTTAAGACCTTATACACGTAAATATATTTTTTGAACCAAACTTCTCT